GATCCGTCTGGAAGGATTTTGTGGGCAACGGACTTGAAGTGCCCGATGAGGAAGCGTGACATCCCCGCCACTGTGTCGGGCTGCGCAGCTTGTCGCACAAGTTCAGGCAAGTGAAGCAGAATACTGCCAACAATGTGTGGGTTGCGGACGTAAAAGCGCGCACCAGATGCTGGGTTATTTTTGTAAAGATCATGGTCTAGCAATTGATTCAAATCTTCAAACCCATCACCAGGCTTATCAGTGGATGCGTCGCTCAGCCAGGATTTGCCTTCATGTAATCCAAGATATCCGCGACCGCCCTGTTTCTCAAGTGTTGCGCCCATGCCCAAGAACGTGCCCTTGTTGTGGACGCTGTCCGAATGCTCCGGCTTGGAAGGGCCGTCTTTGGCATCCTCGTGCGGGCTATCTTGTGCAGCTAAGCGGTGCTCCTCTTTCTGAATGCGATACTTCTCCAATTTGGCTTTTGTGCGGAGCTCATCGAAGAAGTATAAGATTTGGAACAGCCAGAGGGCAACACTTTTTCCTTCGCCCGGCGCACCGTGCTGGAGCATCAGCAAATTGGGGAATTTGCCAAGAATGCCACCGTAACGAGTCTGCAGCGCGTTTAAGGTAAGAGAAACGAGGATAAGCATCATTATGTGTAAACACACACGCTGAACTCAAAGAGGTCGCCCGTCCCAATGCCGCACACAACTCCCAGGCATAGCGGGGCTGCGCGCGACATGGCAGCATCGGGATATGGGCAGCGCGTCTCGATGAGCCGGTAGGCGCACTGGGCATCAGCAGCAGACATGGCGGCGACTTCCGGCGAAGGCTTGTGCGGCCGCTTCTGCGGCGCGGCAGCAGCACCCAGTGTCCAGACCAACAGAAGCCAAGCAAGCAACATTGCTGATGCAGGTTGGAAAGTGCTGTCTTTATAGCAACAACATACTTTGATCATGAAAACCATAAATCACTGCACCACGTGTGACTTCTGAAATAGGTCACGTTAGCAAAGCTGTTCTGCAAGGACACTCGTAAATTTGTAGCTTTTCGAACACCCAGAAACCTGAGCAGGGTCGCAGCGTTCTGGTCACTACTGCAGAGACTCCTGGATACAATAAAATGTCATTACGGCCATGGCCCCAGCAACCCTGGCGTGCAAGCGAAAATTGCAAAGCTGACCTATTCGCAATAAGATAAGTCACGTTCCTGACCTCTAGTTGCCAAATGACCCATGCAAGCCTGCCTTCCAAAGACTTCAGCAATTCATGAAGCAGCTGAGTGTCGTGTGTCTGCCGCATTGCCAAAAATGCAAGATCTAAAAGCAAGATATATACTTAGTATCATGTATAATCCACAGACCGTGACAAAGAAATCCCAAAACCGCGGCCTCGAAACGTG